ATTGAGATAAAATTTCACTTTATAGTCATTTATTCCATGACTTATGTCCACTTTTTCCTCATCCTTATACGGCGCCTTGTGTAAGTCGCCAAGCAGGTTTCACACAGATTTGTTACAATCAGAAATTGAAAGTTGAAGCTATGCATTTATACTCTGATACTCCTAAATAAAATCTGAATAGTCTTTTAGATTGTAATAAATCAGAATCATTGGGATTACATGCAAAATGACACATGGTGGTGGAAGGATTATGCTCATAAAAGTCATATGGTTGGAAACTTGGTGGTTTGGTTAACATTTCATAGAAGAAGGTTTTATGTTTTCCTTAACAATATAGTAGTTCTTTAAAAATAACACTATTACAGATATTTATTAAGAAAAATCATAAGTTGTCTTTTTACAGAACATTTGCCTACATGAGTTTTATTTAGCTGGACTGAAATGTTCAGATGCTCTCCAATCTAGACCCGAAGCAATAAAATGATTTTTGTTTTTCTTTTAATAAATCTAAAGTGAAAAGATCAATGACATGAAATGCATAAAAACTGGGTTCTGACTTTTTTCTGTCAATCCAAATAAAAACAAGTTATGTATTTTTTATGCCTGGCTCCGGAAACGCCGCAGCACGTCAAAATTGATCAACATTGTTTTCTTTGGCTGCCATCAGTTTCTGCTGATCAGAGTCCGGGGTTAACTCCTAAACCAGAAGTCATTTTTCTGATTTTGTGTTGAACTTATTTATTTTATTGAGGTTGATGGCGTTGGGTTGCAGAGAGGCATCTTTCTCTAAAACACGTGGATGCGTTTTGATCTCAGAGCTGCCAGTCCTCGTCTCCCGATTCGCCTAAAACATTTCAGATTTACCTCCTCGTTTCTGAACTACAGCCATTTTTTTCTTCCCAGCCTCAACTTTCCCGTTCCTTCCCATAAAAGGCCATGTGTGTGTCCGCCGCTGCGCACGGCCTATTTAAAGTTGCAGGATTGGCTCTTTGAGATTTGGATGAAATCAAGATGCAGTAAAGTCTTTACAGATGGTCTGTTTTTCTTTTCCTTCTCCACATGAAGAGACTGGGGGGGTGAGGGAGGTTTATTAAATTCTGGAAACGTAAACACAGACACGGACGGTAAACAATCCCCTTGGAAAACGGAAAGCTCTGAAAACTTTCCGTTTTCAGAGCTCCGTCTGAAAACGGAAAGTTATCATGCATGTTGTAAGAACACGGTGGCATCAGCAGGATATTTTCCTTCTTCCTGGTTCTCACTGTTTCCAAGCAGTGGTGATTAATCACTCCTTTTTTATGGTGAAAACGGGTCTGGATCTAGATGACATAATCTTCCGTAGATCTGGCTGTTGCACCGATGTGCTCAGAGCGATTCCTAGTCTGAAATCTCTGCCACCAGTCTCTAATAATCCCAGAAAATCCTGAACAGTTAATCCAATTAGAGTCAACACGTAGCTGCCCTCTGCAATAAATCTAATACGGGTTAGCACGAAGAAAAACACTGTGGAAACTTTCTCATCTGTGTGTTATCAGATGTTTATTATGAAGAATCGTATTCTGGTTGAGGGATTCTTTAAAGCTACCTGCTTCTGAGAGCAGTTTAAACAGCTGAGATGACGAATATTTAGCAGGATTAAACCGTGTCAGTTCACTTCATGGAGCTGGAGGGGAAGCCCTCATGTTGTAACTGTGTAGTGCATTTATCCTTCGGTAGCAACGCCGTAAGCCGCTGCAGCACCACAATGTAAACACAGCTTGTTTTTCCTTCTGTCTGCAGCCAAATGCACTGCACTGACATTCCTCATTAAAAGTTCAATTTAAAGTGAGTAGGTACGTGTGTGTGTGTATATATATATATATATATATATATATTCTTAGTTGGGATTACAGGTGTTTAAGTTTTGAAAAATAGACCACAATTTTCAAACTTTTTCCACCTTTAATCTATGAATTTTAGAAAACATACAGGTCTGTTGGAGGTGAAAACAAATACAAAAATATTAAAACATACCAAAATCTTTTTATTTAATGTCAATACTCAGTCTTTTTGAGGTAACTCTAATTCTTATTTTTTATTAATACATTTTTTAAATTATTATTTAAGTATTGTGAGTAGTTATTTAATATTTTGTGTGAAAATCAGTGTTTTTAATTTCTATTTTCAATTAAATATACTAAACTAAAATAGCCAAACTGAAAGTATATTTGAAATTAGTTATTTTATTTAGCAATTTTTAATTTATTAGAATCAAAAAATATTTTTTACATTTTATTTAAGTATTTTCTTTAGTTAATATTTTATGAGATTGAGTATTTTTATGATTTTCTATCTCTATTTTCAATTAAAAATACTAAACTAAGGAAAAAATCTAGCTGAAAATATGTTGGAAATTATTTTATTTTGTAATTTTTCATTCATAATAATGAAAAATTCTGTATTTCTATTTTATATTTTTAGTTATTTAATGTTTTATTTGATTCAGTTTTTTTATGATTTTCCTATTTCTATAAATGAAAAAGCCAAACCAAAATAAAAAGTCAAACTGAAAGTATATTTGAAATTATTTATTTTATTTTGTAATTTTTAAAATGTATTATTAAAATATTTTTTTATTTTATTCCTTCTTTAGTTAATATTTTATTAGATTCAGTATTTTTTATTTCGAACTAACTAGCTTAAGTAACATTCTAAGCTAAAGAGACTCGAACTGAAAGTATGTTTGAAATGATCTGAATCGATGAGTGTTTCCCCTCCGCGTGTCGAAGCAGCTGTGGCTCGTCCTCCTCTCTCGTGGTCGCCAGAGCTGTTGCTTCACCAAAGTGTTTGCTTTTAATAAACCCGAGTGCCCAGCTGCAAACACAATGAGGGCACAAAAAAATCTGTGGATTTATTCGACAATGATGCCGTTATTCGTGATTTCCACAGATTTATCCTCGTTACTCATCTCTCCATGATTAAACTGTCATTTTTAAGCAGATGTTGTGATAACATAAATGCCTTGGAGGATTTTAACTTCAGTTTTGACATTCACAGCTGCAGTGATCAAAATATATCATAGTTTTCCTGAACCTTAGCTTAAATGTGTAGGCATCCTGATGATTGATGGCTTTGGTCTCTGCTGCTCTAAAAATATCCTGAAAGGTCAAATAAGGGCTTTCATTTGATTTCCTGTCGACTTTAAGCTGCTCTGTGTGTATTTAGAGTTGGCGGCATAACGCTTCAGAGAGCGTATTTTCCTGCTTGAGTGACTTGCTAAATGGCTATGCCATTGTTTGACAGCTTTACTGGCTCACTACTATAACTTTGGTTTCCCAGGCAACGAGTTACGCCAACTATCAGACTCGTTGACCTACTGGTTTACTGCCTGCGGCGACCATTTGTACCAGTCATTACAAATAATTGCCTCTAATTATTGTTGTTCTCGGCATGTGTCGATGCTTCAAAGAGGAACTTAACACTGAGTCAGCAGCTGTAACGGGAAGAACTGCAGCTGAACGCACATCATGCTCTCACACCTGGACGGACTGTAGCAACAGGAACCGAGCTCAGCTTGTTTCTCTACTTCTGTAGAACCACGGTCGGGTTTCCCAAGATAACATTGGAGTCAGAGGTTCCACTTCCAGTAACGTGTGTTTATTAAAGCAGCAGCCGAGCGGTGAACTGTGAGGGAACGGATCTGTCAGAAGGCGGAGGATAAAAGGATTTGGAGTCTAATCTGGATGCAGGTTCTAAACGGCTTTGGGTCGATGTTTGCTAACCTAGATTTCCACGGTGGATGCATCCGCAGCCGGCTTCGCCTGAAACAAGTGTCGAGATTCTCTGTTGGAAAGTTGTTCACATTGCAAAAGAGCCGCAACTAACAATTATTTTAGTTATTGATTAATCGATTGATTATTCTGACGATTAATTCATTATTCTGACAATTAATCGATTAATCAGGTAAACAACTAGCATTCTGAAGATTTCTTTGTTTTTATACAATATTGGGAGAAAGTTAAAAGATGCAAGAAAAGAAACATTTATTTCCTACAATACAATAACAAAGCATTCCTTTAGTTTAGTTGCAAACGAAGCATCTGCAGCTAAATAAATTCAAACGTCAACAAGTGAAAAGCTCAGACCTTTCTGCTTGATTTAAAGTCAGTATATTGTAGGGATGACCTGTTGATTAATTTATGACTGATTAAGAACTAGATAACAAAGGCTGGTGAATAGATTTTTAACATTTTGAACCAGGTAAAGCTAAAACTGCCACTTGATGAATTCTGGGTAAAACATATTTACAGACAATTTTTTAAACCTAAATGCAAAATATTTAGATTTTGTACAATCTGGGCTTAATTACTCCTCTGACAGTACTATTCTTCTAAAGTTTTTTCTTTTTTTGGGCATCCTCCAGTTAATAATTATTCAGTTTCTAAAATAGTTGACGGTCAATACAGTAATCGATTAATCGTGACTAATCCAATTAATCGTTTCAGCCTTAGTAGAAATATGAAGGCAGGATAAGACTAGATGTTGAGACAAATTGATTTTCTAATAACAAAATCTAGTTTACTTTCAGAATATGAAGATTTTTTTTAACAAAGTGTCTGTAAATATCAAGTTTCAACAGTATTTTAAAACATAAGTAGATTAAACTTCTGTTTGTAGTCGGGTTTTAAGCTATGCTTAAACTGATTCATTTCTTGGTGCTGCAGGCTTGTAGTTTGATAAAAGATGTAATGTTTAGAGTTTATTCATGTGAAAAGGGGAATTTTCATGTTTCACCTGTAAAAAAGTAATAGAGTTCATGAAAGCATAAACTGAAAGAGCACCAGTGTAGCTGGGTTAAGTTAGCATTTTTAAACATCTGATCTATTGTTAATAGAGATGTGAATCATGGATTTGTGGATGTGTTAACACTTCACATTAAAACGAATCAGTTGTTGCAGCTCAGTATTTCCTCTCCAGGTTAACGTTTCTCTTTTTTCCCCTCTCCCTTTCCTACCTGTCAGATGATGAAGCACGCCTGGGACAGCTACCAGCGCTACGCCTGGGGTTCCAATGAGCTCCGGCCGGTCTCCAAGCAGGGCCACTCCAGCAATCTATTTGGTGAGAAGCGAAACCCAGGCACACACACAGCACAGACACACAGGATTGATCTTGTTTCCCCGCCGCTAGCAGCCTTGCCCTTTAGATTAAAAGCCAAATTGGCCGCTACTTAGACCCATCCGTCTATGCATGCCTCTAAATGTCAACTTTATCATATATTTATATTCTGTTTATGCATCTAACCAATTGTCAGCAGCTATGGTGCTAATGAGTGCAGCAGCTGTCAGCTTTTACATGGTGAAACAGCTAAGGCTGAAATGATTAATCACGATTAATCAATTCTAGAAATAATCGTCAAGTAACTTAGTAACAGATTAATCTTTAACAGGAGTATAGAGACTCAAAAAAGCTATTTGCTAATAGAACAACACACTCACAGCAGTAATTAACACAAAACTATACAAAAAACCCGATAAATTTTTAAATTTAAGATAAAAAAAAATCATATCTGTATGTAAATATGTTCTACCCAGAACTCCTAACATGGAATATGAGGAATTAGGAAAGCTAAATATGCAGCTGACTGATGTTGTTTACTTTTCACTGCATATAAATAAAAGCTACTAGCAAGGACTGAAATGATTAATCGATTATTGAAGTAATTGTCAAATAATTTATTAGTCGATAATCGTTAACTGTTGTAAACACTCAAAAAAGGCGTCAAATGGCAAAGTATTAGCTTCAAATCATTCAAATTCAGTAAAAAAAAAAAACGAACAAAAACAAAAGGCCTTTTTATTATCCAGTTATTAATCGGTTAATTCAAGCAGAAAAAGATTACATTTTTGGCTGCAGATGTGTCCTTTACTACAAATGATCAATCGTTCACTACAGGAAAGCTGTTTTTGCATTTTAGGCAATAAAATATTTATCATTTCAAAAAGATTATTGCATCTTTTAATGCATTTCTAATACTGTATAAAAAGCGGTTGAATAAATAATCTGCAGAAAGTGCCATTTTTTTAAATCAAGCCGATTAATCGTCATAATAATCGGTAGTTGCATCCCTAGAAAGAGGCATCTTGCAGCAGATCTTTGTTGTGAATATTGCTAGAGTTGCTTGCAGCTTGGATATCTGTGCATCAGAGGTGTCAGTTAGTCTAGTGCTGTTGCATTCTGCTGATAAGACGCCATTCATGTGTGAAGAAGGCAGCATGGCCTCAACTGCTGATAAGGAAACAGCAAAACACTCCCACAAGTTGGGTCTCAGTTTTTCCTGCTAGTTGTTGTTTGTAGCAGTTAGATTTTGTTTTGGCTGTAATGTTGAGAAAATGGAGGGGAATCTGTGTTGAAGATGTTGGCGTGTTTTGACCTCGCAGCCGCTGTGAAAGCTCTAAACACAGATATGGACATAAAGTAAACCTTTCAGCAACAGGCAGCTCAGTTTTACTGGTGGAAAGTCCAACTTCTCGCTGGTTGAATGCACCTGAAATATTTAGATTCTCGTGTTGTATTGTAGTTGTTGAATGAACATGTCTTTAAGCATTTGCTTTTGTTGTCTGGGAGTTATGTAAAGGTGCTACACCACAACTTGGCCCAGCCCAGCCTGAAGGCAAATCCTCCGGCACGTGGCCTCATTCTTCTCCGTCCCATTGAAGAGACACTTACCTGTCAAAACATCTTTTATCACCTGCTTATGAAACGTAAACATCCCAAAACCCTTTCAAAGGCTGAAGGCTCTGGAAAACAAGTGGACTATTATAAAACACACATTTTATTCACTCCTGCACCATGATGATCCCACTGCTTTCCTAAGACAGAAATGGCCATTTGCCAACTTTATGAACATGAACATGGACTTTGCTTCTCCTTTACTTTCAATAGACAATATAAATAAATTTAAAAAAAGCAAAATATATATTTATTTGTTTTTGTTTTTATAGATTAGTCAAATTTTTGGTTTTGAAGATTTAATGTTTGGAAAATCTTTCATTTTTTTTAACCAATGCACTCCTTGGGCACGCCCAGTTTGGGCCACTTTGCTAAACAAGCGTGTTTTACACCTATTTATTTATTTGGACATATAAGTTAACTCTATAATGGAATATTAGGGCCAGGTAAGATTTGCAAGTGTTTAATTATTAAAATCAAGTTATAATTTACAGTTTTACAATCATAGTAATATGAGAATAAAGTCGTATGACAATAAAGTCAAAATAATGTGAGAATAAAGTGTTAATATTGCCAGAATAAAGTTGTAATATTAGGGAAAAGAAGCAGCAATTTTATGAGAAACCCATGAAAAAAATAACAAATTAAATGAAAAATGTTGAGAATCTTGTGAAATTATACTTTGGTATTGGTTTTACAGGTAAGAAAATATTTAATCTTTTAGCACATTATTATCCATAGCAGGATTTTGAAACAACTGATTTCAAAGAAAGAGCTACACGAACTGAGCTGTTACAACAGATATTTATAACTCTATGAACTTTTTTCTTGTAATTTTTAGACATTTTTTGGTAAAATTGCGCCTTTATTCCCCTAATATTATGACTATAATCTCATAATTAAACATTTGTGTAACTTGGCTCTAATGTGCCATCATACAACTCTCAGAAGGAATTACTGAAATAAAATCAACTTTTTAAAACATATATTCTGTCACTTATAATTCCTTTTTTAGAAAAGAAAGCGAGAATTCACACCTCCCCAAACAAACCAGAGTTCGATTAAAGCAGACTAAACAACCCTGGTGTGAATGCAGCCCATATAGTCCTTTGTGATTCCAGCATTGCAGACTTGCTCACAGTGCAGATTCTGGTTACATATGATCGGCTGCTCCAGTTTTTTCATACTGAACACTGTTTTAGTGCTGCACCTCTTACATTTAATGAGGAAATTCAATCAGCTTTGTGTAAATTCCTTCCCCCCCGTGTTCCTAGTCATATGTAAATGTAGGAAGAGAGAGAACAATCCAGGTCTATGAATACTAATTATTAGATTAGCCTGTTCAATCCTGTTTGCCTTTCTCTTTACATTCCCCTCCTGGTGTTCTGAGAAGTAAATAGACTCTTCTCCTGTTTTTCCAGACCCGTTCCCATCAGTAAACAGGACTCCTCACCCTCAGGGCCTCGTCACAACCTCCCCTGCTCCATACAACATTATCATCAGAACTTTAATATTAAACACCTGAGGCATTAAACACAACAGTCAAAATAAACTCAAAACTTGATTTATCAATCTCAGAAGTAACAGAGAGTTATTGTGTCTATTTAGACATGCTTAAAGATGCAGTATGTAACTTTTTAAAATGCGGCTAATAAAACACTTTATAAATCATTATTACTGTTTATTATGCATTGATTAAGGGTAAGAAGGAGACAAAATCTATCTGTTCTTGCCAAATAGTGAGATATTTGTTCACATATTTATCTAGATAAAGATAGATACGATACGCTGCAGCTTCATATGATGATAAAATAAACTTATTTAGGTTTCTGGTCTTTTGGTTCATCAGCTGTTAAATTTCCAGATTCAGGCATTCGCTGGTGGAAATGTAGAAAATGGAAAGCTGGAAAATATGGCATCAATGTTTCAAAATATGATTAAATATTGGATTTTATCTTGATGTTGGCGTATTTGTGAAGGTTTCTTTTTTAAAATGATTGGATTCTTTGAGTTTTGGCTCGCTGCCATCTTGGATCGGCGTTTTCTCGTGTATCGTCGTCAGATGGCCGTCTGGAGGGCTTGGAGTCCTACTCAGCGCCTCAAGCTGGCTACTTTCTGGCATGAGTTCATGGATTCTCCTGCCAACAGGATGCGTTCAAAGAAATGAGTTGGGAAAATCCACATGACTTCTCCAGCAGAACATTGGAAGTTGTTGAGATGATAAGTTATCCTAATGTTTTCAATGTGGTGGCGGATTGGTGCGTTTCCAGCAGAGATGGGATAGACTGCCGGGTGGATGCGTCTCCTCTGTGGAGAGAAACTCCTTGGTCTCAGACGCCAGCTGTTCCATCAGCTGTTTCCACTTTAAGTGTGTTTAGCTGGATTTTGGCTCATTTCAGGGACGTCTTATCCTGCATTGAACATATGCTCTGCTTTCTGGATATATCCGGTTTCCTGCAGCGACAAAACCAGGAGCTTTTAAGTATTCAAGTTATGATTCTTGCAAAACAAAAATGTTAAAGTAAAAATAAATACATTTGTTGTCGACTTTCTGAGAGTTAAAATGCTTTGTGTCCAGAAATGGGAAAATGTTATTTGTTGGATAAAACAAATATTCATTCTCCTTGGTGCTGATTTAATTGAATCCCCAAAAACGGCAATAAGGATTAAGACTGTAGATGTTAGCTTCTGTGACAATGATAACACAGCTTCCATTATTTGGTGTTTGAACCATTAAAACAGGCAGTTGGAAGCGCTTTTAGACGAATCATATCAGCATTTGCATATTTCAGCTATTTAGAGGCTGTAGGTCCTAAAACCCCTAGGGATCCACGGTTCAACAAAACAACGGAAAACTTGGATGGATTAACTTAAGGTTAGGATGATCTGGTTTTTTACAGGTAAAAAATAAAGATATTAAAGGACAAGGGGGGTTATCCTTCATACGTAGGCCTTAAAAGGTCTTAAATTCATTTTAAAAATGTAAGTTGGCCTTAAATACTTTTATTGGTCTTAAATTTAGTTGTGACAGGACTATTTAATCTCATATTCTGTAGTGTTTTTTCTCGCATGACTTTTTTGTCAGGCAAAAGTTTGAGTAGCACTCTAACTTGGTCATTGTGTTTCTGACTCAAATTGATAACTAGCCGCTAATAAGCAATGCTAGCTAGCTTCCACCAAGCTTTTTTACGTCTAAAATTCATCACCTGTTGGCTTTACCTAAACAGTAGGCCAATAAGACACTTGCTGTATCAGCAAACAATTCTGCAACAAACTTCCAGAAAACTGAAAAACAGCTGAAAAACTGATTTCCTTTAAATCAAGGCTTAAAACCCATCTGTGTAGGGTTTTATTCACACTAACTGGAACATTGATCAACATATTTGATG